CACTTGCACACATGCACACACACATACATACACACACATGCACACACGCACATACACACACATACATGTGCGTGCACACACACACACGGGGCGGGAGTTTCCTTTCACACCCCGGATTAAGCACAAACCACACCCAAACATCTGTTTTCACAGGAAGATCCTTTATTACGTAGGAAAGAAAAGGTAAAGTGGCTGGTTTCTGACTCAGGCAGAAAAACAGCAGCAAATGTAGCAGGGAAAAATTTTAAGAAGAGAAAAAAAAGAGGTCTGAGTTAGGCCTAAGATGCAAAGGTATACTTTACTTGGGCATGTTAATTTGGTGAGCGAAAGGGAGCTTTTGATTGCTAGACTTCGATACTTTGTAGTCAGCCTCCGAGAAAAAAGTAACCGAATAAGGTAAACAGACTTTGGTGGCTAGCTAGGAATGTAATCTAACAGTCTAGCAAGGCAGTGGGAATGGGGGAGAAGCACAAGGCCTGCCCGAGCACGCTAGCGGAGCCACGCTAGCCGAGCCACGCTAGCCGAGCCACGCTAGCCGAGCCACGCTAGCCGAGCCACGCTAGTGCTCACCTTGTCCAGACCCAAAGGCAAGAGGACTTAAACTTCTATAATTCCAAAGCTAAATAAATCTTTTCTCCCTTTAAGTTGTTTGTCTCGGGTGTTTTGACATGGAACTCTGAGTAACACAGGTGTTCTTCCTCAGTGCTGGGCCTAGGCAGCAAAGCCAGGCTCTCTAGGCCTTGAAGCCACAGGAGAAGCAACTTGCTGTGTGTGTTGTGCTGATGTCTGGGATTCCTGGTGTACTGTGAATGAATCTGTAGTCCAAACAGGTGTTTGTTTCTTTTCTTTTTTAAATACATATTATTTTATGTGCATGGGTATTTTGTATGTCTATTCACCACCTGTGTGCAGTGCTGGTGGAGGCCAGAAAGAGCATCGGCTCCCTGGGGACCAGAATTACCTTCTCGGTGCTGGGAACAAAACCCAGGACTTCTGGAAGAGCAGCCAGTTACCTTAACCTCTGAACCATCACTCCAGCCCCACCTTTATGGTTCTTCAGATTTTTTGTAACTTTTTTTTGGGAAGGGGGAGTAAGGAGGTTTTTGCTTGCAGAGATTAAAGAATAACTTTAAGAGTTAGTTTTCTCTTTCTGCCCAGTGAATTTTGAGATAAAATCCAAGTCATCGGGCTTGGTGAAGAAAGCCTGTCATAGATTCATCTCATCAGGCCCCAGATGTCTTTAAATTTACTTTTTGTTTGTGTGTATCTGTCAATGGGTATGTGCACATGAGTACATGGCCCACAGAAGCCAAAAGAGAGCATAGGATCCCCTGGTGCTGTACTATAGGCTGTTGCGAGCCTCCCAGTTGGTGGGCTAGGAGCTAAACTCAGGTCTTCACCTGTCCTCCTAACAACTGAGCCACCTTGCTGACCTCCAGAACTTTTTTCTGCAGAAGGCTGTATAGCCATCCTAAACCATGCATGCACAGTGTGAGCCCCACTGGGTGTTTGTTTATTTGTGGTGGTGGTGGTGGTGGTGGTGGTGGTAGGAGTGGTAGTGTGGCTTTTTTTTTTTTTGAGACACAGTCTATTAGGTAGTGCTGGCTATCCTGGAACTTGCTATGTAGACCAGGCTGGCCTCGAACCTGGAGACTAACCTGTTTCTGCTTCCTGAATGCTGGATTAAGGTCATGTGCCACCATGCTCTGCTCAACTAGGTCCCTATTCCTAAAGTAAAAGCTGTGTTGTGCCATGTTCTGAATGGCCAGGACTGTACTTTATGAAAAGGTTGGCTAGCTCAGAATGGTACAGCCAATCAACAAAGCACTATGTTGGAGAAAAGGGTACAACCTTGAGCATGTGTTTTGATTTCAAGAAGTGTTGACCCCGGGGGAATTGGAATTTCTGCCAAGCAATTTTTTTATTTTATTTTTTTTAATGGGATTTTTGCCTTATTTAATTCCCTGATGGAAAAGAGGATACATTTAATTCACATTTCACTACAGAGAGAACATGTAGACAGGGGAATCCTTAGGGTCTGCTGGACAGCTAGTCTAACTTACTCAGTGCCTTCTTGGCCAGTGAGACCCTGATTCATAAAACAAGAGGACAGTTCCCAAGGACTGACACCTGGCATTAACTTCTGCCCTTCACAAACCAGTGTACCCTCCTACACACGAATGTGCGTTCACTTAAAGACACTGGGTTCGAGACATTTACTGTAGCTAAGGAGGAATCAGTGCAAGGGAAGCTTGTGGTGAGTCTCCGCCTTTCACAGATGCAGGTCCCATCTACAATTGGTTTGTTGCAAGTGACAGAGCTCGGATGCACCCTGACTCAGGATCAGAGTCAAGAGTGAGCAGGAAACCCAAGACATAAAAATATTGTCTGGTTTCAGACCCTGGGACGAGAGACTGAGTGTATATCTTACATACCAAAGCAGACCTGGCCTCCAGGTTCTCCCAGCATCCCTCAGTCCCTACCTGGCATACCCTGCCCCCAACCCTGAAATTTCTTGCCCAGAACCTGGGCTGCTCTTCCCCCAGAGGTTCCTCCCTATAAAATCCAGACTTTTTGGTCTCCTGGCTCTCTCCTGCTCTCCTTCTCTCTCTCCTCTTCTCTCTCTGCTTCCACACTTTCTTTCTCTTCCCCCTCTCCCCTCTCTCCCTTTCCACGGCTACTTCCCTGGCCTCCTTCCTTGGGGCCAGTAAACTTGTCCGAAAGCAGCTCCAGGATAAACCTGCCTACATATATTTTAATCTGGCTTGAACTGGCTTACTTCAATGGCAGAAAAATAATTCATCAGATATAACAAGGAAGAAAGGCCACTGCCCGTGACCCCTCTGACTCTACACTAGATAAACTGGATAAAGCGGAGATGATCTCACTCAAACCCCTCTTCCCCCTGGCCAAGACCAGCTATCACTCAGTTAGCAAGTGAGCTGGAAGCATCACAGAAGCCATAGGACCTAGCTCTAGACAAGGAGCTAGGATGGAAGCTAGCTAAGGTGAAAGCCAGGGGCTACTGTCAGTCTCGGGGAATTTTCATTTACATGGTAGACAGGAGCAAGCAGACCTGGAACTGGCTCGGTAGTAGCACTCCTGTCTAGAATCCCCCAGTGAGGGGCTGAGAGTGCGCTTTCCAGGTCACTTGTGGACATGAGCAGTATCTGCTTGGTCAACAATGAAGTAAGAGGGTGGTTGACACACATTTCAACTACACCCATCTTATCTGAAGTGTGGAGTCAGGCAAGGTCACAGAATACCTCCCCGTTCCAAGGGACAGGGAGCTTGCCTGGAATGCACAAGGCCCTGAGCTTAATCCTTAGTACTGGATTTAAACATTCTTCTTACATTTATTTTATTTTATTTTATTTATGAATGCAGGGGTTGGGGGCATGAAGAGGCAAGTGCATATCATGACCTGTTCTGAGAACAATTTGCAAGATTTTTTTTCTACTTCTACGCTGTGGGTCCTGAGGGCTAACTCAGACTGTTGTCAGGCTCAGACGTAGTCACCTTTAGTGGCTGAGCCATCTTGCCAGCTCCTCTCCCACCAACACCACTGATTTTCTTTCTTTATTTTTTTTTAATTAGG